AGAAATATCATCTTTGGTGTTTATGGGTCAGGTGCTACTTTAATAATGTGAGCTGATAATTAACGATGGTCAGAGGCTTACATTTTCTTTTGGAATTGGAATTTCTTGACATTTTGCGCAATTTGCTCTTTTAATTTTAAATTTTGCAGATGAAACTTCGAATATCAAAACTAGATTTTTAAGAACCATAATTGTATGCATTTTTCCTTTATAAAATCTAAAATGGTCGTCAAAGTTGGGTATAGCAGTAATGCTATAGTAAAATTTGTAAAGTTATTGTTTTTATGGAAACAATTTTGGGTACTGTCTGATTTTTATTACTACTTGATGGAACTTATAAGTCCGCAAAATATCAAGAAATTCTAGTTTTTTTAAAAATTCCACTTATTTTCATGAGTTAGCCATGTTAATCTTATAGCAGTGATTGTCACAGAGATGGAACTTTTCACTGAGCCAGCCAAGATTGTTACAACCATAGTGATGGAAACACAGAACCCTGATGTTATATCAGTTGATGAGAATACAGGAAATATCACAAATATTAGGAGCATCCCGTAGAGGGGATTGATTTACACCAAGTGATTTCTGATAAGACTTTCTTCAAAAAATGGTTACCAAATCTAACAAGTCTTTTAGTTGTTTGGTCTCATGTTCGTTGATTTTCCAATTCAAAAATGGCTACCAATCACAAACAGGCAAACACTTAATAGCGTTAAGATGGCAACCCCACGTTTCCATTGTAATTTGTAGCACAAGACGATTTAAATATCCCCATTTTCGATTGTCAGATGATAGTTTCAATAATGCAATTTATATAAAACTATGTTCTTTTATCTTTTCCATGCCAGTTTATTTTTTGCAGTATTTCTTGCTACTGGTTTTGTTGAAATTACAAAAAAAAAAAAAAAAAAAAAATTATGCGTTACTTTTCCAATGCAATTTCTAACTATAGTATTTGACTACAACTGTATTTTATATTCAATTTTCATTTGGTTAATGTCTTTTCAGGACAGTTGCCTGATGTCTCTAAAAAATAAATAAATTAAACCTAACATTTTTTCTTAAATATTAATGTACCGGTACTTTCAATCTCTATGAACACTTCTATTTTCAATTAATGAATTAATCTTGACTTGTTTGTATTATTTTCTACATGTCAACTGTAAATTGAAACTCAGTATTTGAAGTTCCTAGAATTGTAGTTTAAACTGCACTAAATAAATAAATTAAAAAAAAAAATGGATTGGATGTTCTGAAATTTGATCTTTTTAGTTGCCAGCATATAGTGTTTCCTCTAAGAAGTACCTTGGCTTAAAGATTCAGATTGGTTAAATGATGAAACAACTAGGTCCAATTAAGAACTTATAGAAATGCTGCCTGTCGCTTCTGATCAAATGAGAAACAAAAAAAGCACTTCTTTTGAAAAAAGTAATTTCTATTTTTCAATGCACAATACTGTGGCTTTGCAGCAAACATCTACGCAATGCAATGCAAT